CTCTCTCTCCTCTCGCCATGTGATCTGCTTGTACCTGCCAGCTGCCTGCCGCTTTCTGCCATGAGTAGAAGCAGCCTGAGGCCAGGGCCGGCCTGTGGCTCACTCGGGAGAGTGCGGTGCTGATAACACCAAGGCCACGGGTTCGGATCCTATATAGGGATGGCCGGTTCGCTCACTGGGTGAGCGTGGTGCTGACAACACCAAGTCAAGGGTTAAGATCCCCTTACCGGTCATCTTTAAAAAAAAAAGAGGCCGGCACCAGATGCAGCTGTCCCAGAATCGTAAGCCAGATTAAACCTCTGTTCTTTATAAATTACCCAGTCTCAGGTATTTCTGTTATAGCAACCCAAAACAGACTAATATAAATGAGGTACCTAGAATAAGCAAATTCACAGAGACAGAAAGTTGAATAGTGTTTACTTGGGGCTGGGGGGAGAGGGAGATGGGGAGTTGTTGCTAAATGGGCTCAGAGTTTCAGTCTGGGATGATAAAAACGTTCTCAAGGTGGATGGTGGTGATGATTGTACAACAATGTGAATGTATTTAGTGCCACTGAACTGTACACTTAAAAATGGTTAAAATGATGAATATTATGTTATATATATTTTCCACAATACATTTCTTCAATTAAAAAAAAATGCTGCACGACAACATGGAGAAAAAACACAGAAGTTTCTTACCATGAACAGAAATCTGGTGGCACAGCTGAGACCAACCCAACCCAGATCAGCAGAACCACCCTGATGAGCCATAATCAAATAAGAATTTGGGGTAGGGCCGAGCCCGTGGCGCACTCAGGAGAGTGCAGCGCTGGGAGTGCAGCAGCGCTCCCGCCGCGGTTTTGGATCCTATATAGGGATGACTGGTGCGCTCACAGCGCTCACTGGCTGAACGCAGTGCGGCCAGTCACAAAAAGGACAAAAAAAAAAAAAAGAATTTAGGGGTAGTTTGTTACACATCACATAGCTGACTTATACAGGCAGCATGGGAAGAGAGACATTTTAATTGGGTTTTGAAAAGGCATTATGGGCAGAGGGGAGATCACGTGCAGAGAATGGAAGTGTGAATGGGCCTGGCACCTTCAGGCAGTGGTGTGCTGGTA